CACCCTGACCAAGTTGTACAAATGCCCTGGAAGTGGTATGCCATCTGTTTTTGTTAGAGTCGGATCAAAATATATAACTTATGTTCCCATTATTGGTCAAAGTCATCTAATGCTCAGACTGAGTCCCAGATCCCGCCCTTGACAATGGTTACTCCTTAGACGGCAGTCTTTAAAATGTCAAGACTGATTCAGAAGGATAGTGGGTTTGTATAGAGATGTAAAATGTAATTAGTTTTAATTAGTGCTTCCAGTTCTTGCTGATATTAGCACTATTTTATCTTTTTACCCTATAAGCAGCCTGATGCTTAGAAGGTTCTGGAAATCTTACAGTTAGAGTACAAAATGATGACTTTGCTGTAGAGCCATCAAATCAGACATTTGGATTATCTAAACAAGACCCCTAACCAGGATCTCTCCTCCTAGGTAGATAGCATTTTTTCATGGTTTTAAGTGACATAAATTGTAGAATATCCATCTCTTCTCTTGGGAAGCTATTTCTGGTCGATGTCTATTAATTATAAGTATTTTATTTTCTAAAGCTTTGCTTTAATTAATTTTCTTTCTCAATTTTAATGCCAAAATTGAAATTCTTACGTTGTAAAATGCTATATTTAATATTCTCACAAATGATAATTTTCTGTGTATACGAAACTGCATGACACATAATTTGCTGGGTGGGTTAGCTAAATACAAGGCAGCAATACAAGAAGGTATTATTGGAAGAGACAAACCTCAAGACATTTAAAAATTAAATCAGATAATCAAATATAGTCACAACTGGAGCCTCAACTCAGTTCTTCTGTTTCACTTTGTTCCTTGGCTCTTTTTGAAATTAGTCTTAATTCCCTAAAACAGAAGATTTACTCTCTAATAGGAAAATCATATCAGATTTGTAATATTTTTTGGCCAGGTTAGTAGTTTTTCCTTTCCAAAGTGTGCTTGAACCAGAATGAACTCATTTTAACTAATTACATCTTTAATGACCTTATTTACAGAGGTCTTAATCTGAGGTACTGGGGATTAGGACTTAAACATATCCTTTGGGTGATACAGTTCAACCCATAATGGTACCTAAGACTGATTGCCTATTTTCTTTTACAGGTGATGGCTTTTTAAATAGGGTTATTTAGATTTGTGTGAGATGGATTTATCAGGTTATCAATACTCTGTAAAAGATAGAAACACTCTTTCCATGGGTGATGAAGGGCAAGCATTCTCTAAAACTGATGGAATGCAAAAAATATTTAAGGTTTGATTGTATAAAAGGTACTGTCATATGTGAAGATAGAAGGATTGATAAGACAAGATTCTTGTACTAAGAGAAGTTAGTTTATTGACATAGTCCAGACTTTGTACTCTCAAAATAAACTGTAATGAAGTATCACTGATAGACTATCTTTAGATAACTGTTATTTGTCAGTATAAATAGCTACGTAGTTTTAAGAACATCAACAATGAATGTAGGAATCCTTAGTCTAAGCAGCATTGCTCTCTGGTGCATCAGTTTTCAGGTCTAAGCAAGCTCTCTCATTCTTAGAGTGTACAGTTTAAGATTTCCCCAAAGATGTTTTGGCATCGGCAGTACCCTTTGTTTATGGTTTATATGTATATGTTGACTGTGGAGCCGTTTTCTTGGTGAATCTGTGAGATTAAATGTATGGATGCTCCCTTTATATTTAATAAAGGTGATTGCTAAAATCTCAATCTTCCAAAGCAGTTAGTCTTCAAAGATAAAGTATTAAGGCACTTCACGAGCCCACTGTAGTTTATAGTTTAAACTGTGTGTTGCCTGGTTATCTCCAGACAGTTCAGAATGCCTTGTACTCATGGTCCCTGAAAGGGTAGGAATGAGCCAACGATATTTTTTACCAATATTTTTTGTTGGAAAACTCACGTTCAGAGAAGGTACATTTTTTTCCTCAAGAACATTCATTGAATCAGAAGGATTATGATTTTACCTAAAGATTTCTGTGTCTCAATCCAGAGTTCTTTTAAGCCATGAATTATTCTTATATGTATATTTTAGAGAGTGAGACATATCTCAAAGGATAGTTAAAAGGTTTTTCAGACAAGCAGAAAAACTCTTGAATTAAAATTTCGATTCTTCTATTAAATTGACGTCTAATCAGTGACTCAGCTCATATTGAAGCCAAAGAAATTGTATTATCAGATGAATGTTAGTTATTTGCAATACTCAGATTAGGCTAACTTTGCTTACAGTGTTGCCCTTCTAGATATGGCAGCATAAATTGTATTATGGGCATCTACCCTGGAATATAGTTTTGTTTTTTTGACTGCCCTTCTTCGAAGAAAGATATACTCAATGTGGAAAAGGTCTAGAGATTGATAACTACAGTATTCAGGAAAGAGAGTAGAACAAGTTTTAAAAAATAGATTTTGTCATTCTACAAAAATGAAGATTGAATCAAGAAAAGGAGATGAGGGGAGCATGTTAGAGAAGCAAAAAAGAAGCATTTGACTGTCAACTATGATAGGTGATTTAAAGGTTTTAATCTGTTAAATGGTAATCCCAAATCTTGGTATATTTTTCTATACCAAGTCTATAAACCTTAATATCTGCTAGGTGGTGGGATACGTAAGAGAAAGTAGTTTTCTTATATCGTTATTTTTTATTGACCACTAATTTGTAAACTTGTTTATTATGGAAAAGTTGGATATCTTATTAGGAAACACTCTACTGGTAATGGTGTTAGATGTCTGAAGAGTCTTTATATATGTTTTTTATTAATTCATTTAATGTACCATTCTTTAAGGAATTTTTACTACTTGCAAGGCTTAATTGTGCTTTCTCTTTTTTTTTTTTAAAGATTTTTATTGGGAAATTGGGGGATGGGAACAGCGCTGGGGAATTGGNCGCCACTCGGCCTGCCCTCTAATTCACTTTCTTATCCCATCCTGCTCTTTATGGTTTTTGGCTCCTATTTCATAGGCACCGTGTCCTTTTGCATTTTATGGAACATGATAAGCAGTATTCTAAAATGTTCTTTTGATTTCTGTAGGGGGGTCATTTTCATTGTTTTCAAACTGATGTTTCCTTTCCTTATTTAGAAATATTTGTCCATTGGCCTGTTTTTTGTTTGTTTCTTTTCCTCCATCTTTGAATGAGGAAAATCATGTTTTGACTTAGTACTTACCTTCCATCTTTCACTGTTAGCACATATACCTGCTTGGGGTTGCTCTTATTCCTGTTTGTGTTCACTTGGGTGCTTTTTGAATTGCCAAGATTAATAATTAGATACCTATATTTTGGGTTTACAAAGCTCCTGTACCAGCAGATTTTTGCACAGAGTAGCTCTGCTGGACTGAAAAAGGATCATGGGCTCATCTTGTTCTTTTATTGCCTCTTAAGATTGAGAAGATGGAGTATATGAAAAACTTGAACCCTAACTTAGTACTCTTTTTGGGTTTAAAAAAAATGTCTGCTTTCATTTTCCAGGAAGCAGTATGCCCCCTTTCCTCACCACCACCCCCCTTCAACTCCCTTTTTTGGGAGTTGTCGCCTTTCTTTGGCTGTAGAGCAACACCAAAGGAATGGATGTCAAAAAGGACGACACAGAAGGACAGCTGCCATTTTTTTCAAGTTGATTAGAACCTGTGTTTCTGATCTGGAGGGATAAGGGAATGACCACTGGCCTTTACATCTCCTCTCAGGCAGGCATGGATTGTTCACTGAGTTTTGCCATTTTAGTGAGATGTTGGGTAAGGCTGTCAGGAGCTGCTAGTCAGGTGCTATTTTAAACCTGAACACAAAATCATTAGTGTTAGAAAACCACAAAAATTTAGAGTTCTTAAAATTTTAAATAAGCTGCCAGGGATTGATTGATTCATCCCATACATTTGATTACAAATTTCAAGGGAATACTCACCTTCCAAAAGTAGATTGAATTTCACATAAACATTCCATAATCTTTGGCTTGTAGATCTTTTAATGTGAATTAGTCACATTTACCCAGAAGTACTTGCACTTTGCCTTTGACATTGTGGTCCACAGAACTCTGTAAGAAGAACTAATAGGAGGAAACTATCCTTATCGGAGGAGCAGAAATTTGGAGATGGAGGCTGCTGTACTCCGGTCACTTTAAAAATGAAGCTGAAAAGTCTCAAAAATTGAGTGTGCTGTAATAGCTTCCATTTGTACTCTTTACTATTTCAGAAACACTTATTTCATTTGATTGGGAAATACCAGATTTTTTTTTTCATAATTCAAACAAGTTATTATAAAGTAGCATTTATTTGCCAAAAGAGGAGAGATCTTTTATTTAACACAAGAATAAATTCAGGAGTTGCAAGTCAAAATTGACCTTGGGTTAGTGGTTCTTTCCTTCTCTGTTATTGTAGAAGCCTTGAGTTTTTCAAAGTATTGAGCCCATCCTTCTGTCCACAGCTAAATTAACTATGTATTTACATTCTGGCATTCTCGAACCAGGCCCTTGTATTCAACTTGTTTGCTAGCTCTGTCTTATGTGGGCATGGGTGTGCCTGGCTTCTCTGGTAAGAAACATGTAAATTCATGTCTCTTTTCCTTTGGAAACAATAGAAAAACAAAGAACAATTGAACATAAAGAACTATATGTGGTGTTGGTTTTTTTTTTAATTCTGTAAGTGCTGTAAAGTGCTTAATCACTCTTTGTATGTATTTTAAACATCTCATTCATCATAGGGTTTTCTTTCAATTTGTGACAATTTAGGCATAGATGATGTATTAGATTGAGCTGTGAGGTCTAGCTTTTAGGAGGAGTAGAATATGATCAGTGGAAAAAACAAGCTCACTTCTAGTAACAGAATTCATCTTTAATAAATAGTTGATAAGTTTATTAAGAGAGAATAAAATTTTCACCCTTTGTTTTAAAGACATAATTACTCTTCTTTGACCTTAATTTTGTTTTTAACAACAGAAATGATTCTCGGACCCCCTAGAAACTGCTTTTGTTTTAATCTTTCTTTCTTGGAGCTAATTAAAATTTTGGTTTTCATTGAAGGCCAACTGTGATTTGAGACGGCAGATTGATGAACAGCAAAAGATGCTAGAGAAATACAAAGAACGATTAAATCGATGTGTAACAATGAGCAAGAAACTGCTTATAGAAAAGGTGAGTGATGGATGGTGGCCTGAATTCTGTATCCCCAGATGATTAGTGTGTGTCATTGTTGTGGCTCCTTACCTTACCAGAGAGGAAAATATTTCAAAGTAGGACTTTTGATGGTTTGACAATTAGAATTCTTTCTTGCACGGAAACTGGACCAAGCATCCAGAATGATAATTTGGGACATTCTTTCTGCTTGTGCATTGCTTTTGAGTGTGATTGGACAGAGACAGCCTGTCTTAGTTGAGTTTATTTGGGGTGTTGCACCCCTAAATTCTTACATTTAGCCTATCAATTTAAGTGTGTAATCTATTATTATTATAAACATTTAGCAGTAATTCCATTTCAGAAATGATATTTGGAATAATTTATGTATATAATAGTGTGATGATTAAGTGCTTTGTGCTGTAAAATAAAGTTGTTATATACTTGTATGTGATTACTTTAATTGGCAGGTGTCTTCTTTATAGTAATTGATTAGTTGCAACTTGCCTTTGATAATTATTAGTAACTGTTTCTTGAAAGATTTTTTGATTACACCCTCAGTACTTATTTATCTTATTTTGAAAGTTTTAAGATGGCAGTACTTCCTAATGAAATTATTACAAGCTAGAGGTTTGAGACAGACTGGTGGTTACTTGTGCTAAAATCTTTAGAATGTTGTTAAAATGACAGGAAACACTGATAAAAGTGAAGTGAATTATTTTATTGATGTCAAAGATACTGAAGAGAATTTTACCATCTTTTAATTAATTAATTTTATAAAAATGTGACCACCTTTTTCCATTTTTATGACAAAAAATAACAAGGTAGATGTTAATACAGAGAATGTATTTAACATGTTAGGGTACTTCCCCAAATCAATGTAGATTTAGCCTGTTGTACTACACTTTGAACAGTATAGTACAGAAAATAAACATAATGCTATATCTGAGTGCTCATAGGAAAATGAAATTATTTTCTATTTGTCCTTTTCCCCTAAGTCAAAACAAGAGAAGATGGCATGTAGAGATAAGAGCATGCAAGACCGCTTGAGATTGGGCCACTTTACCACTGTCCGACATGGGGCCTCTTTTACTGAACAGTGGACAGATGGTTATGCTTTCCAGAACCTTATCAAGTAAGTTCATTGAAAAGTTGGTTTGGATTTTTTTTTTTTTTTTAAGATTTTTATTGGGGAATTGGGGGGATGGGAACAGCGCTGGGTAATTGGGGATAGGGGAACAGACAAGTTGCTGTCGTTTTGTTCTTCA